AAACAGGAAAAGAAGTAAAGTAAAACCTGAAAATGAGTGCTGAGAAAAAGCTACTGTGTACGTGTTGCACACAGCAATATAATTACCCAGGAGGGAAAGCGGTGCAGGGGAGGAGTTGGAGGCTTGCCGCAAGAAACAGGAAAAGAAGTAAAGTAAAACCTGAAAATGAGTGCTGAGAAAAAGCTACTGTGTACACGTTGCACACAGCAATATAATTACCCAGGAGGGAAAGCGGTGCAGGGGAGGAGTTGGAGGCTTGCCGCATGCTGCCTTCCTTGTCAACTCACAGGTTTCCTGGTCATCTGCATATGGAGATTCCAGGGAGTCGCAGGAAAATAATCCATCATCACAACTTGTGTCCATATTCTCTAAAATTTCTGTACTGTCCCCATCAACTAGATCAAGATCAGTTTCCTGCGGTCTCAGTGGTCGGATCATGCTTATAGCATTTCTGTTTGTACCAAACATCCTGTCGGAACTTAACTGTGGCTGGCTCAAGTGCCTTTTGGCAAGGGCTACACTTATACTGAAAACATTAGGAATCCTCAACTTTGGGGGTGGCAGGTTCGATGAAGGCACTAATTGTGTTCCTTTTCCAGGGAGTGAGTTAGGATGCTTTGGAGTTAAAGCTGGGGTCAAAATAGGGCTTGGGGTGTTTGCCTCACTTGATGAAGATGAGTAATCCAGTCTCTGAGACTGAAATTTTTTATTCAGTTCATCCGAGGAACTATCTTGCTCCTTTTTACTTGATTCAGAATTTCCCTTTCCGAGAAGATTATTCTGAGCTTTCCACTGTGCCTCCTGTTGCCAAGAGTACAGCTTCTTGTGTTCTGGTCTCTTTATGCCAAAAGTCTCTTCTTCAAATACAGAACTGCTGTCATCAGATGCTGTTAGATACGTTTCACTGCCCATTCTGCTACACTGGACCCCCTCCTCCGATGTGTGACTGGAAAGGGTGGACGTGCACCTGGACTTGGGTCTTCCTTTGCTGCTGTCTTCCTCATCAGAGCTCCAGTCACTCGCTGGAGCCGCAGAATTCTGGGATATGCCACCACCTGCTGCAAAGCTTGTTCTTGTTTTCTGGTTCTGTTCTGAGCCACAAGGGGTGTGATGCCATGTTCTCTGGCCTCTGTTGTTTTCTTGATCTTGGTCATCAACAGACTTTTCTGGAATTTCCATTTCTAGAAAAGGATATACCATATCAGCATGTTGCTTTTAATAATATAATCTTTTTTGTACATTTAGCTCTATGGAACTACACGGTAGAAAATGGCAATTTCGTATGAATAAAGTTAATTTATATTATAATTTGTTACTTTTATGTCTTTTTTAAACACAAGTTTGAAATCATAAGCTTTATATAAAACAGAGCCCTAATACTTCAATATAATAGTATCCAAATGACACTGCTTTTTACAAAGAAACATGTTGGGGAAAAAATGACAACAGTCTAAAGAGAGATAAAAGAAGCAAAATGTGAAATAGGACAACATTTCATCAAAGAAAGCAGCCACCAAAAAAATGAAAACTATCAATTGTATTTTAGAGGCAAAGAAAATGACAACCCTCTTTCAGCCAGATTTCAAAATTATCATAAAGTAAATTTAAGCATAATAAACACAAAGCTATAGTTTAAGCAACAAACTTTGTACCCAAGTTTTGATACTTGAATATGCAAAACCATGAAGAAAACATAGAGAAAAGCTTTCCTTGCTCTACTTCTGGTTTAATCATAACTACGAAATGTGTTTTTATAATAAGAATAACACTCTTTAAAAATGTCTTCAGATGTAGCTTATTTTTATTTATAACATAATTAATAGAATGAACCATTGGCACCATAAAAAGTGAATTAAAACTTTAGATTGAAGAGTAGAAAAGAAATCTTGAAAACATGAAAACATAGATATGGCCTTCATCATTAAGAAACTAGAGGCTGATCAAATGGACTCTAAAATTTGGTAGCAGGCACTTCGTTAAATGTGCAAGTGAGCGAGAGCTTCAGCACAGGCAACCTCAGCTGTACTAGACTGACTGTTAGAAAGTGGGAAGGAAATGAAAATGGCTTCTCATAAAAGAAAAGAAATGCAAGTAAGGGCATGAAAGCAAGTAGCAAAGGTGCCTTCCGACTGGAAAAACATTATGCAGTTTTCAGAATTTCATAACCAAACACAGAGACAGCCCCTAGGGCTATAATTTTCCTCCTCTGGAGGAAGGAAGCTGGCACTGAAAGTAGAGAAAATGCAAACTCAAGCCTCCCTAAAACATTTGGGGAAAGTCAACAAAAGAGACTTACTGGAGGTGGCAAAGCCAGGAGCCAGCTGCACAGCAAGGCAAAATTTAAAGGGGCTTTAAGACTAAAAGAAGAAGAATAGAAATATGCACACAGGATAAGGGTACAAACATCTAGGCAAATATTTTCCTCTTTGAAGCAATAAAGGGAAAAATCGAAGCAGTTACTGAATTGTCCTTCAGTGTTCTTTCCTTTATAAGTTTGCTATGCTACATAAAATTTCATGTTTAATATTAGGTACTTTTTATTTTTATTTTTTTTATTTTTTTATTTTTTTATTTTTTTTTATAAATCTGCCTTCTCTGCTAAGGCCAAATCCAGTAGCAAGTGAAGCCATGTCATTTTGGTGATTTTTTTTTTTTTTTGGTGATTGGGTTTGCAGTAGGCATTTCTTTCACTTATTTATTTGTTTTTTTTTTTTATTTTTATTTTTTTTTTATTTTTAAAATTTTTATTTTGTCAATATACACTGTATAATTATTTATTTAAAATATAAAAAGTACCTAATGGGCCATAATAATCATTAGGTACTTTTTATATTTTAAATAAATAATGGATAGAAAATTCACAGTTCTAAACTGAAACTCAGCTGAAATAAGTACTTCATAGGTAGGACTGTAAACTTTTTAACTTTAAACATCACTTCCATCTAATGCAGGAAACATATTAAGGAAAAATCAGTTTCTCTTATCTGTCATTGGCAAAGACTCTCAGAAAACACAAAATAACTATATATACAAAGTTAAATGATATATTGCTATTTAGAAATATTATCATAAAACATGAAGTTGTCAGGAAACAAATAAGGAAAATTAAACTATATTTAGATTAATCTTAGCAAATGATGTTTCCTTTTTAAAAAATCCCAAAGTAAATTCCTACAGTCCATAAATACCTTCTATATGTTTTCCTTCAGTGAAGTCAGATTCTTTAGATGATATCTTGCTCATTTCCTCAGATTTTACTACTTGAGGAGGAGTCCTTGCTCGGGATAAAAAGCACCCAAAGGTCAAACTGCTCAGGCGCTGGCCTTCTGAAAGCTTTGGGGTAGAGACAGTGGATGACTTCTTCCCTTGAACTTCTGCAAGTTCATTAATCAAAATTAAGATTGGAATTTTTCAAAGCAGTTTCTTAAATTTAGAACCAAAGCATACAAAACCTTGAACAAATCATTCTTCATACCAGAAAAAGTGAACTGAAGTTCACTTTTTATTTCCATATAATAACATGGAACCCCCAATGTCAAGCATTACATGCCTATGTTTAAAATGTTTTGGGCCGGCCCAGTGGTGCACTGCTACAGTGCGCCGCTTGGGAGCGTGGCGGCGCTCCCGCCGAGTGTTTAGATCCCACATACAGACCGGCCGCTCACTGGCTGAGTGAGGTGCGGGCACAACACCGAGGGTTGCGATCCCGTTGCCGGTCCCGGTCCGGTACCGGTCCGGTACGGGCGCGACACTGAGCGTTGCGATCCGTTGCCGGTCACGAAAAAAGACAAAAAAAGGAAAAAAAAATAAAAAAATAAAAAAATAAAATAAAACGTTTTATGTATTTTGAATGTTCAAAATATTTTTTAACTGCAGAATGAAAAATATACAATCCTTTTAAGTGTAGTTAGTTCTCAAACAAAAACAAAAAAAAAACCATAAACAAAATACAGATTATAAATAGCTAGAAAGTTACAGCTTCTTGTGAGGTCAAGTATTAGTAAATATCAGTTAAGTATTGGTAAAATTTGTGCAGTAATGCCACTAACTGTGAGGAACAAGGGATTGAGGTCTTGGTTGCCGAAACAATCAAAGGAAGTTTAGATCATCATTGGGACAAATATCACATGGTCATGTTAATGCCTTTTGTTATCTTAGTTTTCAGTAATGAGAAGAAAGCAGATGGGGGGCGGGGCTTGGTCTATGGTGACCACAATATGGACAGCCTTAATCACTTATTTAGAGAAAAAAAAAGGTGGGCTGAGGGATAGAGAATTTAGATAGCTAGTGGAGTGACTAGCCCAGCACCCAATCATGGGTTTAATTCATCTGTATTTTAACACTGCTGCTTGTAAGATCAAAAGTATGGAGATCCCAGTAAGAAAAGTTTCCAAAGAAATTAAATTCTTAACTATAGGAGAGCATCACAGGGTTAAATTAAATAGCAACTGATAATTGAGTAGAGTATAAGAAAAATATTTTTATATAGTATATTCCTTCACATGTATCTTGTAATATTTTCATATTGATGGTCTCTCACAGAACTAATTCACAATAATATTGTAATAATTATATATACACATATTTATTTTTTAAGTACTACATTATATCTCCATATATTATATCTATTCTTCTCTAGTCCAAGCCTAGTTTCCAAGGATCAATACCTCTTACTCTATAAGTCCCAAGGGGCTGCCAATGAAGACTAGAATTGCAGGCTAAGAGTATCAGGGAAAATAACAGGCTGCTGAGAGTGGGCTTAGTAAATCTAATCTATTTCAACAAGGGTGAAGGTCACAAAGATCTGAAACTGTAATTCTAAATATGGAAACCCAGATTAACTATGGGAGTTTCTATTTTTCATTATATGGGTGGAGGAAATGATAGCAATATGTATTAACATGCTTATTAGTATTAGCAATAAACATTAACATGTAGACAAAATGTTTCCATATGCCCTATAATCAACAGTTCAATACAATCTCCCATGAGACCAGTAAGGAACTACTACAATAATGATTTTACTAACATAAAAAAACTTTCTGAAGTTATAACACAGTTACTAAGTAGGAGAGCATTAAAGGTTACTTCAAAGCCCATGTTCTTCCTACCATACCAGTATTTTCCAATGTATTCTGTGAAACCCCATGGCTTTGGGGAAGTGTCCCAAATGGTGCAAGAAAAGGCCTGTCTGCAGGGTGAGGCCAAGTCCGCAGAACTCGGGACCCATCACCAACACTGCTTTTACCTGACTTATCTGTTGAGATTTTACAGAAAACCTTATTTTGTTTTTAAAAAAGGTGGGGGGGGTTCCTTTGCTAAACAAAAGTTTGAACACCTCTATACTTGGCATGGATCTAATAAGCATAAGCTAGCTACACATAACACTCTGCTAGACTCACCTTCTCTTCAACTCAACGTGTACTTGAGTGGCTATCACCCAAACAGAATACTAAGTAAATCTCTATCAAATGATAGTTATACCACCTCCTTGCAGGCTTTGGAGTTGAAAAGAAAGAACATAACCTTGTGCATTGGAAAATGCAAAGAATTTATTCATATAATAAGATTCTGCTCAAAACATTCAGGATGTAAGAATTCCAATCACTGTTAAAAACCGTGATACAAAGCAAAAATAGAAAATAACATAAATGACTTTCTTTCTTCAAGTAAATATACCTGAAATTAAACATTCAGATTAGTATTATCTTCTATAGGTTATTCATGAATATCCAGCTGTGCTGTCCAGTGTAGTAGCCCCTAGCAACAAACGACTATTTAAATTTAAATCAATTCAAATTAAATAAAATTTAAAATTCAATTCCACTGCTCAATAGTCACATATGGCTAATAATAGCCATCATATTGGGCAGCACAGACAGAGAATATTGCCCTCACTGCAGAAAGTTCTACTAAAAAGTGCTGATCTATAGTTTAAAGACTAAATATGCAGTCTAACAATATTACCAACTTTTACATTATGAAAAGTGACTTAAGAGCTTATAAAATACTTTTGTGAATTATCTTAAGAATGGCAAATATTCCCTTTGACTTGATATTTACACGAAGCCAAAAGTTATAAAGAACTCTGGAGGTACATTTCTTTTTAAATAGGCCAATTTCACTCCTGATATTCTTGAGTTTATCAGTGGATTATCAATGGGTATTTCTGCTTGGCAGGATTTGAATCCTAATCCAGAAGACCCAAATGGGGAAAGGATTAGAACATTGGTGACCCATGAGTAAACTATCTGAGTTGTGACATTCGCATCCAACTAACCACCAGCTCAGGCATCTAAGAGCCCATAGTAATGTCATAGAGCTGCTCTCAGAGAATGTCAAGTTCAGTGACTCGTTCAATTTGTGTGAAGCCAAGGAGCCTCCTCCAAATTCCTCAGTGCTGCTACAATTGTATCATATCTGTGACTCCCTGATCTCCACTAAAAGGGTCTATTTTCTCTCTGAGGTCAAAGTTCAAGTCTTCTTGGACTTCAGGGGTACATGCTTCTCTAATACAAATACTTCTAATGCACTATCTGGCTCAGTATGTCTTCTGGCATTCTTTCAAGGAAACAAGGAGATGTAGCACAGCATTGCTTAGAAGGACCAAAATGCCATCACCATTAGAGACTGGTACCCTTTGCCCATGATCCCTACTTCTTGGGCTAATGTTAACATATACTACTTTTAGCAAGTTGGACTCTCTGGGACTATAGTTCTAAAAGTAGGACAAAACTTTTAGAATAGAGAGAAGCAAAATTAATATCTGGTTTTGTTTTCTGACCTATGTGGTGACCACTTTGGTAGACCTACACATCATCAGTCCTATCTCTTCTTACCTTCTACTTTCAGGCCCAACATTCACAATAACTGCTTGTGCGATATTCATAATTGTGTCTTTAAAACACCAGCAAAAAAATACTAAAATTTTACATAGCCAAATAAATCCAGCTAAGCTACCTGAAGAATATACAAGGAACTCAAACAACTTAACAGCAAAAAAACAAGTAACCCAATTAAAAAATGGGCAAAAGAGCTGAATAGGCATTTCTCAAAAGAAGATATATGAATGGCCAAAAGACACATGAAAAAATGATTAGCATCACTCAGCATTTGCGAAATGCAAATCAAAACCACTTTGAGATACCATCTCACTCCAGTTAGGACGGCTAATATCCAAAAGACTGAGAATAATAAATGCTGACAAGGATGTGGAGAAAAAGGAACCCTCCTACACTGTTGGTGGGACTGCAAAATGGTGCAGCATGGAGATTCCTCAAACAATTATGGATAAATCTACCACATGACCCAGCTATTCCACTGCTGGGAATATATCCAGAGGAATGGAAATCATCATGTTGAAGGGATACCTGTACTCCAATGTTTACTGCAGTGCTATTTACAATAGCCAAGAGTTGGAACCATCCTAAATGCCCATCATCACATGAGTGGATAAGAAAAATGTGGTATATCTACACAATAGAATACTACTCTGCTATTAAAAAAAAATGAAATACTGCCATCTGCAGCAACATGGATGGACTTAGAGAAAATTATATTAAGTGAGGCACAGAAAGAGAAATACCACATGTTCTCACATATTTGTGGGAGCTAATAAAAATAAATAAATTAATATACAAACAAATAAATGGGGGGTTGTGGGGGAGAAGACACAACAATCACAACACTTCCTTGAACTTGTTAAGACAAGTGAACAGATATGATGTTGATTGGGGGGGAGGAGAGGAAGGGCGGAAAAAGAGGAATTGGTAAAGGGACATGAAAATCAATTACATTGTGTATTGATAAACTGAAATAAAAAATTTTAAAAAGAAAGTATTCTTACCTTGTAGTTTTGACTGTATTGTTCTTATCTCTTCAGTTTGGTTTTGGTTGATCAAACGAAGATTCTGATTCTCCAATTCCAGCTAAGAGAACATAATAGTATTCTTTATATAGAGATAACATTTCTAAAATGTATTAATAAATTATCATATTTAGAAATGTTAGTATCTAACTTACTCAAAATGTAAGCAAAATACAAAGGAAATGATGAGCAAATATCAAATGAATTTATTGGCACAGGCTTTCAACCTAGATTGTTATGGCATCAATATCCATTTTTTCCAGAACTAAGAGATTTAAATGTTCACCCCCATGCCTATTCCACTGTTAAATTATTTTAAACCAAACTATTTCAGCATTTAATCTTCCATATAAGCTAAATAATGTATCCTTTTCAGATACCAAATATGTTAATTTTATGAAATATATACATATGTTCTATAATTATTTAAAATTAACTAATTAGAACTAAAATTAAGCAATTAGAAAGAGGCTATTTACACTGATCATCATGAGTCTACCAATATTTTTAATTTTAGAAATACAGTGGATATTCAAATGAAAGCTACCTATCCCAAGTTTACCAAAAGACAGCAGCACCACACAAACCAATCACAATTTTTTGTTTTACTTGGAATGATCACATATTGTGATGCCTTACCTACTCAAAAGTATAAGGTAAAAAAAAGGAGAAAATATAGCAATAAATACCTCATTTAACTTCACTGTTACCCATTCTTTGATCTTAGCTGCTTTCTCTTCTATTATTTTAGCTTCCTGTATTCTTATTTGTTTCTGAAATAACATTAGTATTTGGTTTAGTTCAAACATAAACACAATGGTCTGGAACTGTTACATCATAAATATACAAGGCAAATCCACTTAAAACCTGCTTCCAAGTTAATAAATCTACATTAAAATTACCAAATAGATTTTAAAAAGAGAGAAATTATCCTGCAGGTACAATAATAAACTATGAAGGCATATGCAAGTATTGCTAGTTTTAACAACTTCTATTCTCTTTCCCTAAAAGGTCATATACTGAAATCAACCCATTGAATTTATAAACAAGATAAACTATTTGTGGAAATGGTCTGTGGTTTAGAACAGTAGAATAGGGGTCAACCACGTTAGGGAGAATAAGAATCTCCTCAGGGCCATGGCTTTTTTCTCATCAAACAGTTTTTTTTTTTTTTCCTTTTTGTCTTTTTTCATGACTGGCAACAGGATTGCAACCCTCAGTGTCGTGCCCGCACCACGCTCAACCAGTGAGCGGACTGGTCTCTATATGGGATCCGAACCCTTGCCGGGAGCGCAGCCGTGCTCCCAAGCGCCGCACTCTACCGAGTGCGCCACTGGGCCGGCCCCCAAACAGTTTTTAAAGATCCAGAAAAATAAACATTGAGAAACAGTAGCTCACATTTATCAGCCTTTCTGGTTATGGTCACAAAAGTACTGAGAATGTGAATATCATATAAATCACAATGGTTAAGGGCAGGGGTGGGGGTGGGGATGGAAATCTGAAAAACCACTGACCTAAAGAAACCCCAATCCCCAGAGAAATGGAAAAAAAAATGCTGAAAATAAACAATCAACATATTTAAAAAACAATATAATAGTGGTCATATTTAAATGATGTTAAATGACCATTTAAGTAAATTACCCAAATACAATTTCTTCCTAATAAAAATTTAAAATAAACTAAGTACACTTAGAACTCTTTGATGATCAAATTTTCCTAACCTGCTCTTCTAGTTGCAGTTCCAAGTTTTGAATGATGTCATCTTTTTCCTGTATTAGAGACTCCAGATCTTGACATTTTTTATATAACCTCGTCTCTGATTCACTGGTTTGAATATTAGCTGCTTTTAATTTCTCTTCCATAACTTGTACCTAAGTTCAGAGGATAAAATATTTAAAACTGTGCAAGTATTGAATTTATCATAGGATTAAACTTAGTATTTCATTTTAACATTACATTGATTCCTAAAAGCTATCATCGTAAAAGGAAAATATGAAACAGCAAAGTTTTTTTTTTTTGTTTGTTTGTTTGTTTTTCCTTTTTGTCTTTTTTTTACTGACTGGTAACGGGATCGCAACCCTTGGTGTTGCGCCCATACCGGGGACCGGCAACGGGATCGCAACCCTCAGTGTTGCGTCCGCACTGCGCTCAGCCAGTGAGCGGGAACCGGTCTCCACATGGGATCCGAACCCTCAGCGGGAGCGCCGCCGCGCTCCCAAGCGGCGCACTGTAGCAGTGCGCCACCGGGCCGGCCCAGCAAAGTTTAATATATTTAATATTTATAAAGTCTGAAGCCTATTTTGCCGAGTGGTATTATCACTGAGGTACATAAATGTACACAAGAGATCCTCAGAATATTGCTGTCACATAAAGTAATGTACATATTTACTAAAGCAATGATAATATGTAAAGTGTTTATACAAGTACAGAAATAAAGTTTCCAGCCCTTACTTTATCATATTTTAAACAAAGTAGAAATATAAAGTAAAGAAGATGTGTGGTGGGAGAAGACTCAGACTGGATGACCTGATCTAACAATACATTTTGGAAAAAAAGAGTTGAACTTAGATGAGAAAGAAATACATACAGAGTGGAAATGAAAAGGAAAACAAAAGAACCGTAAAGCCGCAAATGACGGAATCATAAAAAATGAAAACATATGAGTCTAGGTAGGAGAATGTGTTCACTGGGGGCTTATTGATTCATTCACTTAACAAATATGCACTGAATACCTGCCAAGTGCGAGGCCTGTTCCAGGCCCTGGGAAGGCCTCAGTGAATAAAGCAGACCCAAAAATCTCTGTCTGCACAGAAATTACATTCTAGTGTGTAAAAGAGATGACAAATGGAATAAATATGTAAAAATATATGGTATGTTACACAGGTGATAAGGGTAAGGGGAAATAATGGAAGGTAAAAGAGATCAGGTGTGTGGCTAGAGGTTGAGCGGTGCCTCAATTTTAATATCTTAGATTACCTCTGCTTGTATCTTCTGCAAAACACATTTGGGCATATGAAATCTTAGAAGGGCATATCTACACTTTGTGTTTGCTGACCTACATTGGGATATAAATCAATTTGACTCATAGTAAAGTTTAGATTTTACTATCACCACCTTTTAGTTCTCACTTTTCTCTCATCTTTCTGTGAATCACAAACCTGATCCTTGTTGGCAGAAGGTCTAGTGGATTAGAAGCCTCGCCAGAGACTTCGCAAGGATACGTGAGATGTTAATGATAGTAAGAATGAAAATAAAGTATTGGGGGCTATATACAATATATAGACTTTTATTCTATATACTTCAAATGAGTAAGAATGTAATTTTAGCAATGTTTTAGATTATAGAGGCAAAGAAGATAAATAATGTGAAAGCATTTCAGAAATTAAAGATAATAGTTAAGAAAAGTCTTAAACTATTAAAAATACCTCTGAAAAATCACAATGAATCTTTACTTAAAGTTCAAAAACATTTGACTAATGAGATTTTTCAGAAGGAAAGGGTAAAGGTTAGTTTGGTTTTATTTTTTCAGCCATAAATATCAGGTTTCATGTGTGGATTCACTGTAATAAATGTAAATTCAATTTAGAGGCCAAAACTGTTCTATTTAAATAACATGCACATGGCTGAAAACTATGAAAATAAAAGCAGATCAAAAATAGGAGAAAAAATGTATCCCACTATCCAAATGGTAATTTAAGTTACCTTAGATTTAGATTCTTTAACATAATATAACAGGTTTTCTGCATGAGCTGAAGGACAAAGATCTGCATCGAGGACAAAGGTTTGCATCAGAAATGCTGTCATGAAAAGCAGCCTGAGCAGTACAGGGAATTGGACAGTAAATACCAAGGGTCAATCTTAAGATGGTATAGAGACAGTTGCCCAGGGCATTTTGTAGCTGTGGAAGCAGGGAGAGAAGAGCAGAGCCCAAGTCCAAAATGGTAGTTCTCTTCTGGGGACAGAGTAATAGAAAATAAACTTCAAGAAAAACAAAATTAACTGCATAAGAATATTATCAGACCTACACCTACAGTCTCTTTTTAAGGCAGAGCAAGCACCCTACAGACATTGGGTTGCCACATAAAATTGTCCTACTGATGTTTAAGAAAAGTCTATTAGTCCTAGAAAATTATGATTTGAAACTACTGTTCTACCCCAAAAAACATGTTCAATTTGAACATTGTTCTCATTTTACGAATAAAAGCTACAGAGCTCCTTAGATGCATCCTTGCTTTCTGAAACTTTTTAATTCAACCATTACTTTCAGATGAACAACTTTACTAGGCAAGAAAAATACTGGCAAAAGTGGTGAAATCTCTTAGGGAAAGAGATCATAAAGTATTTACAGGTAACCTACTTATGAAGTGGTCCTGTACTAACAGGATTCACAGGATTCACCAGCCTTCTTTGGTAATTGGTATGAATAAAAGGTCACAGAAAAGCTAAGAGACATACAGAAGAACCAAGCAGGCTTTTAAAATATCTTACTACAAGCACATGGAAAATAGCCTAGTTCTTTTTCCATTCATTTAACCTGAACCATGTAAGAACTGTAACTACTCAGAGACTGGCCAATAACAAGCATCTATGAATTCAAATTGGTTGTTAAATAAACTCACAATTATCTATACATGGATATAGTCCAGCGTGGAATGCTTTGTCTTTTTAGGCTACTTTTTTCCTTTACTTCTAGGATAGCCTCTGGTTACATCCACCCATGTAAGCACACTCCTTAGCCATTTTGCCAAAACCTTCTTGATCCTGAGGTCCCCAAGTTCTGGCTCAACAAAGGTTTAATTCAGCAGACTTGGGGTGTTCAGATACTGCACATACCAAAGAAAGGACTGGCCGTTGACTGGCTCTGGGGAGACAACCTCTGAGCCCCTGAAATATTCTGACTGATAACACTGCCTGCGTATACCTGAGAGTTTGGGCCACACCAGATCGTTTACTATAACAATGTGATTTATGGTGAATGCCTATTTTTGTTCACCTGGGGCCTTTGGCCACACTGTATCAGCTTGACCTCTAGGGGCACCTGGAGACTGAATAACTAAGGTCAGCTGTGTGAGTACTCCAGGCCTACATGACTAATCTCCAATAAGAAATCCTGGACACCAAGGCTCAAGTGAGCTTTCTTGGTTGGCAATACTTCAGGCATGTTGTCACACATCACTGATAGGAGGATTAAGTCCATCCCTGGGCAACTCCACTGCAAGAGGACAAATAGAAGCTTGTATCTGGCTTCTCCTGGACACCATCCCATATGCTTTTTCACTTTCTTGATTTTAACTTGTATCCTTTCACTGTAATAAACCATAACCATGAGTATAAACAGCATTTCTGGGTCTAGCAAATCACTGAACCTGAGAGTAATCTTTGGAACCGCAACAGAGCTTCCAGTGTTTTTTCCATTATCCTGCTGGAGAAAGCAGGAGCCGCCAGTGTTACTCTCTTTATAATATCCATAAGGCTATTTCCTTCTTCCCGTATCTAACCTCATCCCCCCTTCCCTCACTATAGGTAATCAAAATGTGACTGTATTTCTGAGGGGGTTGAAAGTTTCTATTACTATATATAAGTTGTAATGGCATGGCAAAGATTCTTGATTGTTCCCAAATAGAATGAAGAAAGGAAATATTAAGAGTATTTTGAATCCCAGACTATTTTCCAGTTATTTAAAATTTATTACAAATTAATCATTCTAATCACATTTTAAACACAATTATTTTGGCATAGTGCTCCATAATTTATGAAGTAGGATCTTCCTCATGAAGTAAATTAGTGCTTGTTTAGAGAACTAAATAAGTTTACTTTCTATATAATGAAGGGTAGACCTCATGTAGCAAGGCATTACAAGGTCCTAAATATCAGAATGCCTGAGCAGTAATAATTTTTTTTTAATTTAACAAGTCTATTTATTTATTTATTTTTAAAATTTTTATTGAATCAAAATTGATTATACATATTTTTGGGGTTCAACACTGAGATATGTTGATCAAATCAATATTACTAGCATATATATTGTTACAAATCGTAATTATTCTTTATGCTCCTTGTCCAATCCCACCCCATCCCCCTTCCTCTCCCCCTCCCCTCCTCTAATCACCCTAGATTTCTTCTCTCCTTCTGAAAGAGTAATGGTTACTCTGTTGATTTGCTGCCCAAATGATCTGTCCAATGCTGAGAGGCATGATCAGATCCCCCAATACTATCATAGAGCAGATGTCTCTTCTATCACTATGAAATGGGCTCTGTGGAGACAGACATCCTCCTCCTGTCTTTATCTCTGCCAGCGACTCTCCTTGTGTCAACTCACTCCAGTGGCTGGTGGACCATCTGCATGGTGGTTGTGGCATCTAGCCACCTTCACGCAGCCATGGTTATCGTGGTGGCTATGGTGGGCCACACACATGGAGGAGATGTTTTTGGTTTGCTCCATGTTGCTGGCAGTGTGCCTGGTTGAGAATGTCCGATCCCCGGTTCCATACCCAGGGTCCCCGAGTGGGTCCCGAGGTGCTGGCATGGTGTGCCTGGTTGTGGGAGGGGGGTCCAGTCCCCAGCTCCTTACCCTGGGTCCCTAGGCACAACCTGAGGCACTGGTGCAGTGTGTCTAGTTGTGGGAGGGGGTTTTGGTCCCCTTATCCATGCCCCGGGTCCCAGGGCAGGCTCTGAGGTGCTGGCACAGTGTGCCTGGTTGTGGGAAGTGGGTCCAGTCCCTGGCTGCTAGCTCCAGGTCCCCAGGCGGGCCCCCAGGCATTGGTGGTGTGCCTGTATGTGGGAGTGGGGTCCAGTCCTTGCCTCCAATCCTCGAGTTCCTGGGTGGGGCCCCAAGGTGCTGATGGTGTGAGTGGTTGTGGGCAGGGGTCCT